TGCATCCTGGTACACCAGGTGTCATAAGATCCACCACTGGCCTAAGTCCATCACTTCTCAGTCTCCACTACTATCTACCCTGAGGTCCAAGGCCCACCCTATTGCCTGACAGGTCTTACAGCATCTATAGTTGATCTCAGTGTTAAAATATATCAAAAAGGGCTGGGGACATGGCTCAGAAGGTGCTAGCTGACATGCATGAGGCCCCTGGACTCAATCACAGCACTATGATATAAATACATAAAATTAGATAAAATTGATCAGAATATATCTTTCCTCTGTTTAAAACCAGCCAGTCAAGTGTAATCAATAAGCTTCAGGTTCAAAGTCCCAGTCTCAATTAAGGTGGAGAGTGATTGAAGAAGACACCCAATATCAACATTCAGTATCCACACACACACAGACACACACACCAGGGCAGGTATGGCAGTGTATACTTGTAATCCTAGCACTTAGGAGGTAGACACAGGAGTATAAGGAATTCAAGGTCATCCTGGATACATGACTAGTCTTAAGCCAGCCTAGGCCATATGAGACTCTGTCACAATAAAACACACACACACACACAGAGGATACATTTCTAGCATGGCATGATGGACCACATCTGTACTCAGGAGGCTGAAGCAGACTGAGCTATATGAAATCCTGTGGAGAGCTGAGAGAGAAGAGGGGGATGAGAATGAGAACTTACTTCAAGGGCTTTTCATCATATCTATCTTAGGAATTACAATGTGTTTGTATGATAAAATAACTACCGTCTAGGAAGGTTACGACAAATAAGTAGTACAAACAAGCAATCCTTTAAGTTTGGGAGGAAACATGCCATCTACTAGGACAGCCCATAAAGACTTCAAAAAAGAAACAGATCTTGAGGTAGGCCTGAATGATCCATTTCATTAGGCTAGAAAGTGCATGGCAAAAGGCACTGAAATGGCCTGGTCAGTCCCTGATGCTTACATCTTTCCAGTGCTCTGGAGTAATTTCAGTTCTTCTAAGCGTGGACTAGAGTTGTTATTTAGTCTCCATTCTCACAACCGCAAAGCAATGTACGCACTCCTGTCCTCAGCCAAGACCTCCAAACCGACCTTTTTGCTTTTTCAGTGCTGGGGAGCAAACCCAAGCACTTTTGCAGAAGCACTTGGTAACACTGAGCTATATCTCCAACCCTTGCTTTGTTTTTAAGATTTTTTTATTTTTAATTATGTATGCATATGTATGTCTATGTATGGTGGGGGGGGGGGTCTGCACATGAGTACAGGTGCTGTAGAAGCCAGAGGCATCGGATTCCCCAAGAGCTGGCGTTTCAGGAGATTGTGAGCTGTTTGACATAGTTGCTGGGAATTGAACTCAGGTCCACTGAAAGAGCAGTACATACTCTTAACCGCTGAGCCATCTCATCAGCCCAGTCCTTTAAATTTTATTTGTTTATTCTTATTTTATGTGTATGTGTTTTACCTGCAGCTGTAGAAGCCAGAGGCATCGGATTCCCCAAGAGCTGGCGTTTCAGGAGATTGTGAGCTGTTTGACATAGTTGCTGGGAATTGAACTCAGGTCCACTGAAAGAGCAGTACATACTCTTAACCGCTGAGCCATCTCATCAGCCCAGTCCTTTAAATTTTATTTGTTTATTCTTATTTTATGTGTATGTGTTTTACCTGCAGGTATGTGAATGCACTCATGTGTGCAATACCCATGGAGGCAAGAAGAAGATACTCTGGAACTAGAGTTTTGGATGGTTGTTAGCTGCTATGTGGGTGCTGGGAACCAAACCCAGGTCCTCTGACAAGAGCAGCCAGTGCTCTTAACCACTAAGTCAGCATTCGAGGCCCATTTTGTTTTGACAGGATCTCACTAGGTAGCTCAGGCTGGCCTCCACTTCACGATCTTCCTGCCTTGTGCCTGAGTGATAGAATGAGTGACAGGTGTGTTCCTCCATGCCCAGTCATCTTTCCTGTGTCCAACTTCCCCCTGTCCAGTCATAGTACATATTTAACATTCACTCCTTTCTATGCATGAGCTTCTCAGCACAGATGCTTACAAACCAGCCAATGGCTAGTCAAGGCTGCAAAATAAAATTATTCATAACATTATTCATATCTGCTCTCCAGCCACCTCTCACTCTATCGCTGGATTCTCACTCCCTAAACATAACATACAAGTTTCATGCCTGTGCCCACGCTGTTCCTTTTACAGGGAAAAATCTCATTTTGTTCTCAAGCAAGACACACCATTGTACAGGTTGTATAAACTACTTTATGTAAGCGGTGCCCCCTTGCCAGGTGTGCTGGATAGCTTTAGTGTCAACTCGACACACCTGGGTTGAGGGAGCCTCAATTGGGAAATTGCCTTCATTGGACTGGCCTGTAGCCTTGTCCATGGGGCACCTTCTTGATTGTTGAGTGATGTGGGAGGGGCCAGCCTACTGTGGGTGGTGCCACCCCTGGGCAGGTGGGCCTGTGTCACATAAGAAAGCAGGCTGAGCAGGGGCCAGGGGAGCAAGGCAGTAAGCAGCATTCCTCCATGGCCTGTGCTCCAGCTCCTGCCTCCAGGTTCCTGCCCTGAGTTCCTACCTTGGGCTCCTGGATGAACTGTGACCAGGGATATGTAAGCTAAATAAAACATTTCCTCCCCAAGTTAGTATTGGTCAGAGTGTTTTGTCACAGCAATAGAGAGCAAACTAGGACACCAGGGTTGAACAGTGTGGAACCTTCCAAGGATGGCTTGTTTCCATCCCCCATGACTTTGAAGGCTTTCTCAGAATAATTCAATTCTTGGAAATCTATTATGTCTCTAAGTCCTATACCAACTTTTCTTTACAACAAAAAGTTACAGTACTTGAAACACCAACAGTGACTTGAACAAATGGACACTCAAAAGATGCTTGCAAATTATGATGAGATAAATCAGGGGGCTGTGAAATGTGATAGAACACTTGTCTAGCAGGTTATGGTTAAACTGTCAAGAGACTTGAAGGAGAAGAAGAGAACATGGACTTTATTTAGTAGGTTCCTGATCAAGTGATCAGAATGATTTAGAAAGATTGATTTCAGCAGCCAGAGGGTGGCAGGGGTTGAAAGACTATGACGTGCCATCTCAGGGTCCCTGTGTTGAAAGAAGCCAGTGTGGACCTTCCTGTACCATGTGTAAACCACCCTTCAGTTTATCTGGGATTATAGATAATTGGTTTTCTTATACCTACACTCATAGAGGAAAAGCTTAAAACTGGGCCATTAAACCAAGAAAAACATGCATTTGCCTGAAATATCTGGGTATCTAGGAAACAGTTCTGACTTGAATAATTACATACATACGTAAGATACATATACACAAATTAAGCCTTACTCTGTTCTTCCTTCCTTACAGAATCTCTTCTCCATCTCTGCCTCTTCCCTGTTTGATTTCACCTGTTCTTCTCCCTCCCTAAAATTAGTATTCATCCTATTGCGTTACATGAACGATCTTTCTTCCCAAACTCCCTCAAAATATTATTCACTTAGTTTCCTCTTCTCATTTATATCTTGGTTTATCCAATTCCTTCAATATCTGTATAAAGTCAAGCCTCTGTTTCCTTTGCTAAGGCAGCTCAATCCTTCACTAACCTCAGAACTCTACAGTATTAATGAATCATTCCAAGGCCAGTCACTTACAGCTCATTTTTCTATGACCCTCTCAAAGGGGGAGAAAAAATTAAGGACACTTGTGTATTTATATAAATAAATTCATTGCATTATTGGAGTAAGAAGTAAATAATTTCTGTCTGCAAAGTGAAAACAGAATCCAATACACTGAACAAAATGAGTCTCCTAATTTATTTCTTTTCAAAGCATATATCTTGGATTTCATGCCAAGATGGCATATCAGTAATAGACTCTGTGGTACCAGACCATTTTATTTACTTCTAAGATTTATCCAGGAAGATAACTCTGTGGAAGTAATACACTGCTTTACCACGATACAGCACCATTCCCAGCAAACCTATCAGGAACAGATTACAGGGCACAGCCTTGAACTGAGAGTGAATGGGGGAAAAAAATTAAAACAAAAAGTGAATGGGGGGGGGATCTTAAAACAGCTATCAAAGGGCAAAAGAATACAGTTCGGGTTTTATGCCCAAATGGCTGTCTCCTTTAGAAGTCCAACTTTAGTCTTCTTATTCCTCCCACCAAATATGCAAAATAAACTCACTTGTACTAAAAACAGAAAAGTGTTATCACCATTAAGAGGTAAGCAAGATCTTATGAAAGATTAAAATAATTCCCTTTCATCCCAGTAATGTCTAAAGAAAAACACAGAAACTACCAAATACTGTTTTTGGGTTTGGGGCAGTTTCAAATCTTTTTCTCTCTCAAGATAATAGTTTTGGGGTTTGTTTTTTTCCTCCCTTGTCACACTGAAGACCCTCTGAACGTAACAGTAAATCTTTAATACCAAAGGGCGGACAGGGGCTTCCTTGCTAAGCCCAAACTTGGTAGAAAAAAGAAAAGGGCACAGACATCCGTTATTTAATCTATCGCTAAATTATCCTCCTTTATAACAGGGCAATTCCATTCCAGCACGCATTATGCCAGGGGCAGAGTGTGTAGAATGTGTGAGCAGTGCAGCAGACCACATTTCACCGGAACAAGACTTGATCTTTTCAAACACCACCAGTATTGGCACATTTTTCAAAGTGCTCTTAGCTAAAATTGAATTATTGTATAAATGATTGTATATTGTATAGTTTCAAGAAATCTAATTAGTAGGTTGCTATTTGTTCAGAAGTAAACTACAAAGATGGGTTTTGCTCCAAGCCTGGAGATTCTGCCCTAAAGATGAGGATCTGGTGCCTGAGAAAGGGGGTCCGGGAAAGGGACCCACACATCCCTCAGCCTCAGTTAGCGTGTCTGAGGCCTGCACAGGCCAGCAGACCGACAGGACGGAGAATGGACGGACGGACGGACGGACGGGACGGACAGACGGGACAGGACGGACTGGACGGGCAGAGAAGCAGTGCGTCCTACCCGGAGGGCTCCCTCCCAGGGCCGGCGGAGTACCTGCTCCGGTCATCCAGGCTGCGGTTGTCGGTGGCGGCGGCGCGCCAGTCGGGCAGCGTGCTGGCGCACAGCACCACCATGGACACGATCACGAACACCACCGACACGCTGGCCAGGATCTGCGCGGCCAGCGACGACGTGGGCTCCTCGAAGGTGCGCCGCATGCGCTCCAGCCAGCGCCTGGACGGAGCTGCCTCGGCTCCGGAGGGACGCGCGTCGTCGCGGCCCAACTCGTCGGCGGAGTAGAAGGTGTAGGTGTCGGACATGCGGTCGTCCAGGCGGCGCTGGCAGCAGTACTCCAGGTGTGCGCCCTCCAAGCCCCAGTAGATCATCTCGTTGTAGAAGGAGAGCTCGCACATCCGCGGAGCGAAGCGCAGCTTGCCGTGGCCGCGCACGTACAGCAGGATGAAGCCAAAGGCCTCCGAGTGCCGGTCGAAGAAGTACTCGTTGCGTTCGCGATCGTAGTCGTCGCACACCTCGAGCACGTCGCGCTCCGAGCGGCAGCCGTGCAGCCGGCTCACACGCCGCAGCGGGAAGTCCTTGAGCAGCTCCCGGGACAGCGAGTACCGGGCGCCGCCCACGTTCAGCACCACCGAGGCCGCCCCGCTGCGCCCGAAGGTCATGGCTGGCCTCCCCGACCCGCCGTCCCGCGGGGCCTGCCTGCCGCGCGCACCAGGGGGGACGCGCCGTCGGGGCCCGCGCTCCCCGGGGGCTGCTGCGC